TCTTTGGTTCAGTTTTAGTTGTCCTTTAAGGTGTTTCAAAGATTCATGGTCTGAGTGTATCACAAATTCTTTAGGCAAAAGGAGTGTTGCCAAGTTTTCAAACTTCGTACAAGAGCATATAATTCTTTATCATAAACTGAGTAATTCAGAGTTGGACCACTTAGCTTTTCACTGAAGTATGCAATTGGCCTCTTTTCTTGCATGAGCACACCTCCAATCTGTGGCAGAACCGCCTAATCTAATGCTCTCTCAAGGGTACATGTCTTCCACTAGACACTAAGTACCCAAATGATGACACAAAATTATGCAGTTCTGTTGAGCACACCCCGAGGGAGAACTCGAAAATCCATATTTTTCCATCAGGATCATAAATGAGAGTATAAAGCTTACAACATTTTTAGCCATTTCTTATATTGATTAATACAATAGCGGAATTAAATATGTGATCGGAGTTTCAGCGGAAAGAAAGTTATTTAATGATATGTGAAGCATTAACAAGTGAATATTTCTATTCAAGATATGATGGCGGTTTATAAAAACTTTTCTTATAACAACATTTAGTGAGGGTTATAAATAAATACTACGATCGCCGCATGAAAGGAATCCTCTCTGAGCCAACCAGGAGGTTTCCACACACTAGAGCCGTTTACCATTCATCTATCACCTGCAATAGGGGAATAAAACCATGAGTACTCAATTGTACTCAGTAAGACTTACCCGATAGGGGAAAAATAAAAGACTCTAAGGATATGTCAAGCCTATTTGTCTTGTGAGTTTTTGCATCTGCGGAAGCATTACTAAACGTGCGTCCTTATATTTAATTTTATTAGCAGTCATCATTAGTCCACACAAAACGGTGCAAGCGTACTGGAAACTATAGAGCACAAACTAGGGAAACCCAGAGGGATCACTTCACAAGTCTAAGAAAAACAACAAAGAACAAAGGTTTGAGTAAGACACTCGGCAGCTCGGCTATAATATCATGTAGTTTATCAAATCATCAAAAGGTCCCTAATAGCATAGAGACTGGGGATATTTATACTATGAGCAACCCTCCTACTTGTGTGTGAAAACGAAATGGAGTTTCTGAAGATAGGCTATGTGAAAGGTCACTACGAGATGGATTCCCGAAGTGGCCTCGCGTGACTGTTGGCCTCCTGAGCAGCCTCCACTAATCTGGCCATAACTCTTTATTGGGAAGTCCAAATGACGAACCGTTTGTTGGGTGTGAAAGTAGACTCGAAAAGCTTTCCAGCCATGTGTATCATGCACCATGAAACTTTATAGATTGGTACAGTTTTGCACGTGAAGTTGACCCAACATTCTGTCCCAGAAAGATTGTTGATCTTCTAAGCAGTCTTCACTAATCTGCTCATATCTCAACATTGGGAAGTACAAAATACTTGGAACTTCCTCCATTGGAAAGTAGACTTGATAAGCTTTCCAAAATATCCTCATGGGCCTCCAAAGCTTCACGGGAACGAGAGTTATGAATGTTTCTTTCAGCTGGTCCGTTTTTCACTGTACTGGTTCGATCTGGTGGTCCGTTTTTCTCAGTGCTAGTCCGATGTAGAGTAACATCCTCCTCTTTATTTGTATGCCTAAGTACAATCAAAATAGAACACTTAGGTAGTATAACATTCTTAAATATGTCAAAGTTAATTTCAGCTAGGAGTGAGTTCACCTCTTTTGGAGTAGTTTTGCATGGCTACCTCGTCAGCTGACCAGAACGACAATTGCATCAGTATGGCCAGAAAATGCAGAAAACATCGCAAATCAATCTGATACCCTGATTTGTGATAGAATTAATCAAGAAGACGATTTCATGACTACATGTGACCAACATTTATGATCGGCTGTTGAATTTGCAATTTACACAGGAAAATCAATCAGTAGAAATAAATTCATGATATCCTTCATTACAATCTGTTGGTTGAATCATGTCAACCTTCCACATTGGCTGTTGACATTGTTTCCTTTGCTACATTGAGTCCATGCACTTTCCAGTCTAAAGTTCACAACGATGAACCTGGTATGAGTTACTCTACCTGTAGAGGGACTGAAATCGATTGGTTCATTTGTTTTGTATTGTATACAGATTCAGATATACATTGAACATGTGTATATAGGAGGGATCTCTGCAGATATGCTCGAGGCATGTAGAATGAAGAACGATGCTTTGCAGTTGCACGGCAACTCTATGCTCTTGCACCATACATTTAACTGCCATGTGTAGATTGAAGATTACCATGAAATGGCCACATTAATATCTGCTGTAATAACATGGAAACATTCAGTCATTCAGATTTTCTCAAACACTGCTCACCTGTGTTCTTTTTTAGCTTCTTGGTCAAGTTGGCCTGCCCCATACAATGGCTCCAGGGATCAGGGGACTTGATGAGAATACGACGCACTTGGCAAACAGTGCAACAAGAACCAGGTTCATGAAACAGCTGGCAATTTTAACGGCTGATGGTGCCGCAGGAAAACGTCAAGGAGCTTCATAAAGCTCTGAATAACACAGATTGATCAGCATTGGTGATGATGTCCAGACGCCATACATTTGTTCATCTTGAAGATCACCTACTGGATCGAATCACTCTAATTATAGGCCGAATTAACTTAACTTGGCTTATTAATATAGACTGAGTCTGTTGCTCACATTGGACCCTGTCTGTAGAAAACCAAAATTATCAGTGAACAATTTTTTCTCACAAAGATATTACATTTTTTTTTATTAATAAGGCCATATTTAGAAGGGCTTCTCTAGCTCTGGTTCCATCCTACTCCTATAATGCCAGAGGAGCCGGAGCTGGAGAAGCCACAAAACGTGGCTTTTTTGGATCACAGTTTTATTTCGCGAGAAAAGAGAAAAACGGTTCCTATGAACAGTACCGTTACACTTGCTGTTACACTTGCTGTTGCAGGAGAAGCCAAAGCCACAAGGAGGTGTGCCAAATAGATCCTATGCAGGGACAATGTTGTAGATTCAAGATAAAATGTTACACCTTTATAGCAAAAACGTTCTAAGCTCAGGAGATCAATATTCCATATTTGGCAGAGTAAAATTTTAAGTTCAAGTGAATATTGTTTCATAATATTCGTGTCCAGTAATAGGAAAAGAACATTTTATAGAGATAGTCGTGACAATTGAAAAATATATGTAGACCATCTTTTAGATACAACATAAATAATACTATAAAGATTTATGTCTCTAACTATGGAATTTGTGCAAGTTAAAATAACTTAACTCTGAGCAAATTTATAGTGAATAATATTAACATTTATGTCTCTAACTAGGTTTACTATAAGAATATATTTTATAATTAATTTAATGGTACGTATTTTTTACCATAAATGTTAATACCTTTTTATATAAGTTTTGTTAAACTTCAAATCATTTGACTACTCAAAGTGAGAATGTCTTCTTTTCTGAGGACGGAGGGAGTACGCGAACACTCAAAATATAACATAAAATATCTCATAGATACTATAAAACCATTGCAAAAATGCACCATGTATGAAAATTGATTTTTTAAAATAATTAGAATAAATAAAATAAATAAAAGAGGGAAAAAGATGAAGATTTAGAAGAATAAAATTAAAAATCCACAAAGAGAGGAAAAATAAAATGGGAAAAGAAAAAAGAAAGGGGAAATAACCAGAAAACAGAAAAGAAAAATGGGAAAACAAATATCATAATAGACCTAAACCATATGCTTGAGATGGGTCTTCGTGACTACGTGGTAATTGGAGATCTACTTTTGTGGACGAAACGCACTAAATCAACAGTTGGGCTGAACTAATACTCCGTTCTACTGGTGTAGCTGTGCTTCTGGCCTCGATTTCCCTCTGGTATCCAGATGAACGCGCTAGGACGCCGGACGCCGGCGCCACGGTGCTTGTCCGAAGCACGGTTGGCACAAGCAATAGAAGACGGCGGGCCCGGCCGTCAGCTATGCACAGATGCTGAAGGTGAAGGGTGTGCGAGTTGCCAACAAGTGATCCTTGTGCTTTTCACCCTTAACTTCTGCTTTGGGTAATTGGGCATTTGGGTTACAGCGAGGAACGCAGATGTTTGCCAAGATCGCACTGCTCGCGCTCGGCACTCCAGTGATTCCCCTCAAGCTCCCATTTCCAAGTGTGTCTTTCAGTCTTTGCGCTGGAAGTCGTAAGGGAGGGCTGTGCATGGCATGGCATGGCCTTTGATTGGATTCCTGCTGCTTGCATCTTGCTGCATCCGTTCCTAGCCACTTCAACAGTGATCACTCCAAATCATGATGGCAAAACAGTGCACACAAGTTGACTCCAGTCACCAGCAATACAGAGTAAAAAATAGTAGTATTATCCCTTCGAGAAACTTCAAAATCATCTGATTTTATGTACTTTCGCTTGAACTACTTTTCAGCCGAGTCAGCCTATTTCAACTTATTCTCCCTCACAGAATACTATTGAATTAGTCGAAACCAGCCGATTTATATACCTGAACCGTCAGTGGCATTCAGGCAGGATATGCGTGTCCTGAACGGTGAATATAGCAGAGTTTTACAGGTTCCAAATCTACCTTGGCGTTCGATTTCGAGCCGTCCTTCCCTTCCACCCATGACCAGCAAGTAGCAGCAGCAGCCCACAAGCGCGCGCGTGCAAACAAGCCGCTGATCCGGCGTCCAAACACGCGGTGGCCCACGCCCGCGCCGGCCCATCCATCCATCCTCCTCCACTCCCCAGTCCCCCCTCGCCTCTCGCTCGCTCAGCCTCACTGCGTCTCCCAGTCCGGCCACATCCACGGCCGCGCCGCGTCGCCACTCCCCCCGTCCCGTCTCTGCCTCCCCGTAGCGCACGCTGCACTGCACACCACCAGCGCATCGCATCTGGCCTGGTCACCTGACCTCCCTCCCCCTCTTCTTCTTCTTTACCCGAGGTGGCAGCGAGGCGCCTCGCTTTCCGCTTTCCCACTTCGCCCCGCTGTGCCCCCAATCTTCCCGATCCGGCACCGCGCAATGCCGCCGCCGCACTACTATCCCGTCCTGCTGCCGCTACTGGTTCTTGCGGCAGTGGCGGGCGTCTCCGCGGGGGACGGCGGCGGGGGAGAGGGACTGGAGCGGACGTACATCGTGCGGGTGGACGCCGACGCGAAGCCGTCGGTGTACCCGACGCACGCGCACTGGTACGAGGCGGCGGTGCTGGCGGCGGCCGGCGACGGCGCGGGGTGGCCGGAAGGGGGCCCGCTGATCCACACCTATTCGGCGGCCTTCCACGGGTTCTCCGCGCGGATGTCCCCCGCGGCCGCCGAGGCGCTGGCGTCCGCCCCCGGGGTGGCGGCCGTGGTGCCGGAGCGCGTGCGGCAGCTCTCCACCACGCGGTCCCCGAGGTTCCTGGGCCTGCTGTCCTCCCCGCCCTCGGCGCTGCTCGCGGACTCCGACTTCGGGGCCGACCTGGTCATCGCCATCGTCGACACCGGCATCTCCCCCGCACACCGCAGCTTCCAAGACCGCGGGCTGGGCCCGGTCCCGAGCCGGTGGCGCGGGGTGTGTGCGTCCGGGCCGGGGTTCCCGCCCAGCGCCTGCAACCGCAAGCTCGTCGGCGCGCGCTTCTTCTCCAAGGGGTACGAGGCCACCTCGGGGCGCATGAATGAGACGGCGGAGGTCCGGTCCCCGCTCGACACCGACGGGCACGGGACCCACACCGCGTCCATCGCCGCGGGAGGTACGTGTTCCCTGCGTCCACGCTCGGGTATGCGCGCGGCGTCGCCGCCGGGATGGCGCCCAAGGCGCGCTTGGCAGCGTACAAGGTGTGCTGGGTGGGCGGATGCTTCGACTCTGACATCCTCGCGGCCTTCGACGCCGCCGTCGCCGACGGCGTCAATGTGATCTCGCTCAGCGTCGGTGGCGTTGTCGTGCCGTACTACCTCGACGCGATTGCCATCGGGGCGTTCGGCGCGACCGAAGCCGGGATCGTCGTCTCCGCTTCGGCCGGCAATGGTGGTCCCGGTGGGCTCACGGTGACCAATGTGGCGCCCTGGATGGCCACCGTCGGGGCTGGCTCCATGGACCGCGCGTTCCCGGCCAATGTGCGGCTCGGTAACGGGCAGGTGCTCGACGGCGTGAGCGTGTACGGGGGGCCCGCGCTCGAGTCCGGCAAGATGTACGAGCTGGTGTACGCCGGGGCGAGCGGCGGGGCCTCCTCCGCCTCCGACGTCTACTCTGCGTCGATGTGCCTCGACGGGTCGCTGGACCCAGCCGCGGTGCGCGGCAAAATCGTGGTGTGCGACCGCGGCGTGAACTCGCGCGCCGCCAAGGGCGACGTGGTCCGCCGCGCGGGTGGCGTCGGAATGGTGCTAGCCAACGGGGCGTTCGACGGCGAAGGCCTTGTCGCCGACTGCCACGTCCTTCCGGCGATCGCCGTCGGCGCGGCCGCGGGCGACAGGCTCCGCAAGTACATCGCGTCCTCGACCAAGCAGAGGCCAGCCACCGGCACCATCCTGTTCGAGGGCACGCACCTGGGCGTGCACCCGGCGCCAGTGGTGGCGGCGTTCTCGGCGCGCGGCCCGAACCCCCAATCCCCGGATATCCTGAAGCCGGACCTGATAGCTCCCGGCCTCAACATCCTGGCCGCGTGGCCCAGCAGCGTCGGCCCGGCCGGCATTCCCTCGGACATCCGCCGCACCGAGTTCAACATCCTGTCGGGCACGTCCATGGCCTGCCCGCACGTGTCGGGCCTGGCCGCACTGCTCAAGGCCGCGCACCCGACCTGGAGCCCCGCGTCGATCAAGTCGGCGCTGATGACCACGGCGTACGTGAGGGACAACAGCAACGGCACGATGGTGGACGAGTCGACGGGCGCGGTGGCGGGCGCGTTCGACCTCGGCGCGGGCCACGTGGACCCGATGCGCGCCATGGACCCGGGTCTGGTGTACGACATCACCCCGGGCGACTACGTCAACTTCCTGTGCAACCTCAACTACACGGAGCAGAACATCCGCGCCGTGACGCGGCGCCAGGCGGACTGCCGCGGCGCGCGCCGCGCCGGGCACGCGGGCAACCTCAACTACCCGTCGCTGTCCGCCACGTTCGTCGCCGCCGCGGACGACGCCAGAGCGACGACGATGAGGACGCACTTCATCCGGACGGCGACCAACGTGGGCGGCGGCGAGAGGGCGGTGTACCGCGCGTCGGTCGCGGCCCCTGAGGGGTGCAACGTGACGGTGCAGCCGCGGCAGCTGGCGTTCCGGCGCGAGGGGCAGCGGCTGAGCTTCACGGTGCGGGTGGAGGCCGCGGTGGCGGCGCCCGGGAAGAGGATGGAGCCCGGGAGCTCCCAGGTGCGGAGCGGCGCGCTGACGTGGAGCGACGGTAGGCACGTCGTCCGTAGCCCGATCGTGGTGACGGTGCAGGCGCCCTTGCAGTGAGTACTGCTGATCAGCTGCCCCGACCGCGGATCGAGCCGGAGCTGATGAGGCCATCGATGGGCGGTGGAGAGGAGTCAGTGGACACAGTCTCAGTGTTCTTGAAGGCGCGGACCATGAGTCCGCAAGGTTTTAGCTTTTCTGTATTTTTAAGGTTGCTGTTAGTTGTAGAATACGTCGTGGAAGAGCTGTATCGTTAGGTACTACGTAAGCTATACTGGAAGTCTGAGCTCTAGCTCCGGTCTTTGTTCTCCATTTCTTCCTCGTCTTGCTTTGCTGCTACCATTTGCTTCTGTTTTCTGATGAAGCATGCCATGCCGGCCGCCGGCGTGTGGTTTTGCATGGAGTGGCTTTTAAGTGCTTCGTGTGCAGCTACCCCTCCTCTCGTGCAGGTACTATGGAATGCATTTGATATAAAAAAATAGCTAGAGAATAGCAGACTGTAATGATAGAAGAGTTGGCTAATTAGTAGTTGCTTAAATAAATAGATTTCCTGAGTTTTCAATCGCAATATCTAAATGATTCAATGTTTTTTTTTCTACTTTAGAAAATGCTCAACTAAATCACTATGCTCGAACTAGCAACTTGTTCGCTTATTGATTTCAGCTAATAAATAATATTTTCCTCTTAAAACAAACTAACATCAGTCGAACTTATAACATCCCCGACGGTCGGTCTGGGTGGTACCACCAGTGTGTGATTGAATGGTCCTCGGCTGAGCTCACAATGACGCGTCATGTGAGTGAGATAACGATGAGTTGGGGACGGGTGCGTTGTGCGTACTTGAAGTAGGATCCCGCTTTCAATTCAGGCCTTAGTTTAAATTTGGCAAAAAAGAAGATTCCCCATCACATTAAATTTATGGTACATGTATAGAGTACTAAATATTGACGAAATAAAAAACTAATTGCACAGTTTGGTTGTACTTTACGAGACGAACGTTTTGAGCCTAATTAGTCAACGATCAGACAATTATTACCAAATAAAAACAAAACACTACTATAGCTATAGTAGAGCCAGGAAATTCGGCTGCGCCGATTCGGTGGCCAACTAAACATGGCCTCACTTCACTCGTTCATTCAGGCCTTGTAAAGTTTCTCCCTCAAAGGTATACATCCTACCCTATCGAATGTTGGACATATACAAGGAGTATTAAATATAAATTAAAAAAACTAATTACACAGATTACGACTACTTTACGAGATAAATCTTTTAAGCCTAATTAGTTCATGATTTAACCATGTGATGCTACAGTACACACATGTGCTAATGATGGATTAATTAGACTTAATAAATTCATCTCGCGGTTTACTCACTGATTCTATAATTTATATTTTTTATTAGTATCCGAACACTTCATACGACACTCTCATATAACACCTGATGGGTCTAAATTTAAACAAGACCCCTCGTTCGCCTTTAAGGGCCCGTTTGGATTGGAGTATTTTCACAGGAACTTTGAAGGAAACCAGTTCCTCTGTTTGGATGACGTCAGGTAGCGTTTGGAACGGAGGAACGCTCGTTTCAGTTCCAAAGGAAAGGTTCGGTTCCCTTCACAAAACGTAGGAAAAAATACATCCAGTCTGAGCTCTGGTTTCGCATAAGACCGAGGCAAAAAGAGCACAGAGGAGATAAACAAAAGAGCACTAGCTCATTTCTCGATACTGCTGTTGTCCAAATGCATGGGATCATTTGTCTAACGCCTACATTGCTGATTATTATAATACAAAAAATATTGTTAAAGTGGTATTAATGGTCTAACTGAAACTTTTGGTTCCTCCATTTCAAACACTCCTTCCTATAAAATTCCTACGTTTTTCGATCCTCTATTTTGAACCTCTACCTCCTTTCTGTTCCTGTGTTTTTTTATTCCTATATTTTTTATTCTGTGTTCCAAACAGGACTTAGGTCTTGTTTAGATTGTAAATTTTTGCAACCTGGACACTGTAGCACGTTTCGTTTGTATTTGATAAACTTTATCCGATCATGGACTAACTAGGCTCAAAAGATCCATCTCGTGATTTACAACCAAACTGTGTAATTAGTTATTTTTTTACCTATATTTAATGCTCCATACATATGTCTAAAAATTGATGTAATAGAGAGAGTGAAAAAACTTGTAATTTAGAGGTGATGTAAACAAGGCCTTAGAGCGGAAAATTTTCGCGAGGAGATGGAGGGAAGCGAAGCAGGTGACGAGTGCAGAGTGCAGAGAGCGCTTTGTCAAAAGGCACCGCCGTAGGCAAATCAATGGCCCTGGCTGATTCGATGGTAGTACTGTAGAGACTAGTGCAGAGCAGCAGACGGCGAATATCTGACTTCGTATGATTTTCACTCCAGCATTGCCGTCATTGAGACATTAGGGCGCGTTTAGATGTAATTTTTTTTTGGGTTTTGGTTACTGTAGCACTTTTGTTTGTATTTGATAATTAGTGTCTAATTATGGACTAATTAGGTTTGAAAGTTTCGTCTCGCGATATCTCACCCAACTGTGTAATTAATTTTTTTTTCGTCTACATTTAGTACTCCATACATGTGCCGCAAGATTTGATGTGATGGGTACTGCGTAAAAAATTTTGGGAACTAAATAGCCCCTTAATAGCAGCTTTCTGGACAGATGACTGTGGCCAGTTTGGTCACGGCCGCATCGTGCCAACAGCCAACTGGGGGTGCCAGTACTGATTTTGTTAGTAAAAATATTTATTTGACCTCCATTGACGACCGGGCCTTCGCTTTTAACCATTTCCCGGCGACCGAAGGGAACATGAACATGCCCCGACACATGAGGGCATGAGGACTAGTAGTAGTCTTCGTGTCGTCCGTTGACTTGATTGGACTCCATTGACGACCAGGCCTTGCTCGTGCATCTAATCATTCCGGGTCACGGCGGAGGAACAGCAACGAACCATGTGGATCGAGCGTCTGCGTGGCCGCGAGTCAGAAACTCAGATTGCTGTACCCGTACAGAGCTTATAAAATGGCACCGCCGGGACCGACGCCGAGGCCCGCCATCGTCTCGCTCGCTTTTCGGTGTCGCCTCGAGGGGCGCTCGATGTGCCTCTGCGCTCTGTCCTCTCCCCGCAGGTGCGCCGCGGCATGTGTGTGTGCCGGCCTGCGGGCCGGAGTACGAGCGGCGCCGCCAACGCGTCGGGGATTGTTTTTTCCACTCGTTCTTCTGTTGCTTTCGTGCGCGGTGGGCCACGGTCCACGGCAGATTCCTTGTCGTCGTGCATCCGATGGAGGTCGCTGACAGTGGCGCATGCGTTAACCGGCCGAATCAGTTTCGGCCCGGCGGGAAGGTGCGCACGCACGCTGGCATGGCCCGAGAGAGGAGGAGGCAGGCCGGGAAAAAGGAGAAAACGAAGATGCAAATAGAGCCTCGGGCTGGGCTGGAAAAAGAGAGGGAGTGCGAGAAAGAGAAAGGTTTCCCAAATTGAAAACAAAATAAGTTCCTCATCAAAACAAAGAAAAGAAAAGAAGAGAATTATATTCTACCTCTTTGATCTGATTTTTCTTCATGAACTTCAAAACAGGACATCTTAACCCCCCTTCAAGGCCTCAACCCTTAAAACCATTTAAATTAGAGAATTTGGTGTTTCTACCCCCCACTACGGACTTCAATGGTGATTTTACCGTCATTTTTTTTTAACTTTGTGATTTTGCTCTCGCTATTTTGAAACGAAGGAGCCGTTTACCCATACTTTGTAACACCGTCTATACCGAGTGGATTAAATGGCAAAAAGAAGAAAAAAGAAAAAAACACACAAGCGAAAAGACAACCATACCCCTCCCACGTTTTCCTCTTCCCTCAGCTCTCAGCCGCGCCTATTCGCTTGCATGGAGGAATACGCACCGCGGCCTCGCGGGCGGCAGGATTACACGCGGCGCCGCCTAGGGTTTCTGTCGGTGTTGTGCAGGGCGGCGCGCCTCCCGGAGGTCTGGTCCTGGCGCCTCCCCTTCTTCCCCGCCTCCTCCCATGCGACTTGGGGCGCCGCATCGTGCGGTCCTAGCCCGGGCGGGCGGCTACCTAGGCGGCAGGGGCGCCGCACCTTGCGGTCCTGGCCCAGGCGGGCGGCGGCGAGGCCCCGCCGCAGCCTCCTCTGGCCCTCCCTGGCCAGCGGGTCCCCCACTCCCGCGCCTCCCTCTCGAGCAGCTCGAGGGAGCGCGGCAGCAGCAACACGAGGGCACAAGGGCGCACGGCAACAGCTGCCGTAGGCAGTTCCCTCCGCTGCCAATGCCCTCCACGCCCTCGGCCTCATCTAAGCGGAACTCGTCCTCGCCAACTCTCTGCTCTGTCTGTACCTACGCCCACCCGTCCCCTGTTCGGGCCTCGCACGCAGCCTATTCGACGAAATGCCCGCGCGCACCGTGTCCTCCGACAGCACCCTCATCTCGCACTCGGACTCGCCTAGTGACGCGTGGCTGCGTGGGGCCTCGTGCGGCGGATGGTGGCCGACGGGTGCGTGCCAAACCGGTTCACTGTCTCAGCCGTGCTGCCCGCGTGCACGTCTGCGCGCTGGGTAGGGAGCTGCATTGCTACGCCGTCAGGGCTGGTGTGTGCGGGGAGGATGATTTCCATGTCAGCAGCGGCCTCGTGTCCATGTACTGCAGGGTTGGCCACCCGGACTGCACGAATGGTTTTTAACAGGATGGCATGGAGGAACGTTGTTTCGTGGACTGCCATGGTGGGAGGGTACATGGAGAATGGCACCGAATGAATTGTATAATTCTGTATTAAAATTGTCAAATTCTTGATCTAAAAATAGGGGTAAAAACATAAATGTCAAAATAAAATAGGGGTAAAAACGTATTGGCAAAGTTATCATTTGATTCAAAAGTTAACACCGTTAGAGGGACTTCACACAGCAGGGGTAAAGTCTGCCTTCGTTTTGAAATCATAAGGGTAAAATCACAAAGTTATAAAAACGATGACAAAATCACCATTTCGCTTCAAAACAGGGGCAGAAACGCTTAAGCCCCTTTAAATTACCCCTTGCTTGGGT